AAATCAAGTGGAGCAAGGCAATTTTTCTTTGGAATATTGTTGCTCGGCTTTTGTTCTTGAACCTGGTCCATATACCGTCTACCTAAAATAAAAAATAATTCCATTAGAAAAATTGTATTTCGAATTGATTTTGAACCACCACGATCAGCCTTCGCTCAACAAGCCTAACGCAATTGAATGCCTGAAAAATTGAACTAAATTTTCTCCTTTAATTAAAAAATAACACCTTTATTTCGATTACAATGGAAGTCTTGCTTGGCCAGAACAAACATGTCTGATTAAAAAAGAAAACAAAACTTAAACAATACTGTCAACTTATAGCATAAATCATTGTTTCAAAAACAAAAAATGGTCAAGAGTATCTATTTGCAGTTTTGTGGAACATGCAAATGCCGTCGTTCGAGATGCTGTTTAAGACTGTTTTTGTGTTTGGCACAATAACCACAGTGTGTGCATTGGAATGTTGGCAATTTACCGCATTCCCATTTGCCATGGTATCGCTTGTAATGTTCTTCTTTATTTTGCCACAGTTACATACGAAACAGCCATCGTTGCCTAGGACTGGAGTGAACGTGGACAATGTAGGAATCGACATATGATAGCTGTACGCATCTAGCACACTATCATCATCATCATCCAAGTCACTGGCTCCATTCTCATGATCTTCAATCACATGAATAATCATTTTCGGATCTGTAAGTAAAAAAGAAACGAAAGACATATTAGTTGAATGAATTGGATGTGTGTGTGCAATGGATATACCTTTTGACGGTATGTGTAAGTGAACGAAAACTAATCATTGTATTTTTCTACCATTTTATTTGTTAAAACAAAGATGCAAAACTCGGTTGCTTTACACTTAAAAATAACAAATAACGGAATCGAAAACGATAGCGTTCATTTAACTAGCCTTATGAAAAATTTCTTCAGGAAATGCATTTGAAGACCAAGATGATAGAGAGGCTTTTTCGATGAAAATTCAATGCAAACCATGTCACGTGAAATGAACTGTGAGTCGGCATGACGGTTTAAATTATTGAATTGATCCATTTTTCGACGATGATAACCAGTTTCAACGATCCATTCGATTTGTATCGACATTGACATCGAAATACCTGATCATAGTTACGTGCTCTTTTTTATTTATCTTCCAAGTCATGATCGGGATGATAGTCGGGTGTGTCACAGAAATCAGGTGTCAACTCCTCTTAATCAATCATCTAGGATGGTTGAATACAAAATGTAAAAGCGAAAAGGAAGTGCATTATAACACGGGCAATCAATATTTGAATGGATTTGGGTATGAACTAGCGAATGGTAATCTACTCAAATACTTTATAAATGAGTGCATAAAAATGCAAAGCTTCACTAGTTTTTACTATTCGATTATGGGTTATGATTGTGATAATTGGTTCAAAATAGGTACCGGTGATCCGGAAGTTGAGTCCTATCTATTATTGCTTGCGTCCGTGGACCATTTGAATGTGTTTTGTCATGTTGCTCTTCCGTTTGAACATATATTTACAGATTGGACATTCGAATGACGGCAATTTTCCGCATTCCCATCGCCGGTGAAAACGTAAGCTGCTGTTATGCGAATACGATGAACCGCATTCACATTGAAATGGCTTTGCTACCAGACAATCATTTTTATCCGACTCCATAGAATACCACCAATCTGCAACAAATAGAAAAACACACAGAATAAATTAGTGAAATTGATTTCAAATCGAGAAATTGTGACATTTGATCTTAGTTAACTACAAACGAACATGCGCAAACAAACAAAATAGGTTGATAAAAGACTAATTTCCCCCCAAAAATATGCATGTTTTAATAGTTCAAAAACGCTTAGTTCTTTATTTCTTACGTCTATAGACCCAAGTAACAATTATTAAATGAAATATATCCGAACCCGGGTATATGTTTAGGGTTGAATGTGGGGTTACGTTTGACCATAGATACAATCATTTTTTCCGTCAAAAAAGAGTGACATTCGGGCGTAGTCCAATTGTGCATGAAATGAATGGAACGAAAATAGAATGAAATCAATGCCCTTTTTTTCAATTGAAAACCAAGTCATTTCATTTGTACTTACCTACGCAACCAAATGTCACGTACTCCCGGGAACAACAGAAGGCTGTCCCCTCATATACGAATCGTCCTTCACGGTACATATCCTCAATTGTCTTCAAATCCTTCGCATCCAGCGTATGGTTCGATTTGATGTACATGAGCGAAACGGAAACACTATCAGTCATAAAAGAGCAATTGAATTTCATTTTTCTCCCGCCGATTTTGTTGATTTTCTTCATGTTGAACACGTGTTTCCACCACTGTGCCGGATTTCTCTTGTAAGTTTCCTTGCTGATGCTCACTTTTCCGCCTCTTTTTCCTATAGCATGTTTCAAAGCACCCAAACCACAAGCAATTTCATGGAAATGCGTGACGTCGATGCGAATATGCTTGAGATCGAAGTCATGGACGGGAATTGCGATGAAATTCTTCACTTTTGGCGGTCGTGGCACAAGTGGCATCTTATTTGTGACAGGATCACTCTTGTATTTGGCCCATTCGCTGTTCAGCATGCCGTACGTTGTGTGGAAATAGCTGATGTTCCGCTGAATTTTGATCCACATGCATTTTCGGTTCGATCACTCGTTCGATGTCACAACGATAACAATTCAAATGCGTTACCCTTTTTCCCTTTTGATTTTAGTTGCTGGTTGTTCAATCTGAATTTGGTCGAACGAAGCAAAGTTTCATATTTCATGACATGGTGAAATTGTGAACGGCGGTTTGTTTACAATAACAAACTTCAGAATGAACCAAAACTAATAGCGGGAATATGCACATTAGTTTTGCTTGCCATCTCTGGACAATTTAAAACGTAATCAAAACATGAACAATTTAAATCATGGAATTTTATTGCATACGCTAATGCTATTTTTGCTTCGGGAAGTGTGAATATCGATTGCTCCTTTGTGTGAACACTATTAATTGACACAGAATTCTTTTCTCTTTGATTTAAAATCTACCATTTCTCTCGTTCCGAATATTCTTACAGTTGGTTTACACCATAGGGGTATGCAGCGACCATAAAATATATGTATTTCATCAAGTTTATCAAGCTCTTTCCAAGTTTATGCTTAGTGTAAAACTTTTGTTCAACCTCTACCACCTAAATGTACAGTAAAATAATTTACGGGTACGACGTACGATGGCGTTTTTTCTGGTCAAAAAAGTTGAAATATCCCTTTGGTTTACACTGAAATTTCAGTCGATTTTGACGGAAAAAAAGCCTAAAAACGTTACATCTTTTAACGTTAAAAATGACTAAATTGCCTTTCTTACGTCTATGAACAATGTTTGGTATTTCGAGTAATTTTAGTAGTGAAACAAAATAGAAATGTAATTTTGACGATTGCAACTTACTAAATCGAATTTCAATTATAAAATTTCCTATTTTATAGTTGTTTGCAGTATGATTTCATGATAATTTCTTTTGATGCTGAAAAGAAAAATAAAGATCGATTAGATTTAATCATTTGTTGGAACTATTGAATTAGGAAATGTTGTTGAATGAATGTCAATTCCAAAATGAAATAATATCGTACCTTTTTGTGGAATGAACGATATTGGAATTGGGTTGGTTCATCGATGGCCTTTCGCAATATGTGACTTAAGGTTGTGTTTATGTTTGGCACGAAAATTACAAAATGGGCATTCGAATTGTGCATCGATGCCACATTCAAGGCGTTCATGTCGCGATCGTGTATATTTCCGTGCGTAAATGCGATTGCATTTTCGACACGGATATACTTCCGACATTCCAATGGCCAAATGTTCATCTAGAACGAAATGTTAACAGAAAAGAAAAAAACAGAACAATCGATTATAATCCATTTCATTAAAAATACAATATAAATTCAGCTGAAACCACCAAAGTATGTACAAAATCTACAGAGTTTAATTACAAACACCTTTGAACCTTTCCAAACTCCTTATTTGTAAAATATTTATTTTTCGATTTCTTTCATTTTTCTTAATGCTTATATAGATCGATTTAGTAATTCTAAAAAAAAATGTTTTTCATGAAAAAATATTATGGTTATAAATCAATGTACTCGTTTCAAATCGAAAGACTTAATTCGAATTATATTCTTAAAAAATATATAAAATGAGCGCAAATTAGAAACGTTTTTGTTTTCTTACTGTTTGGAGGTTCGATTTTTCTTTTCTAAACGACAAAACATGAAAAATTAGACCGAAATTAATTAGTATTAATTTCCCGAAATATATATTTCAACATGTTAAAAGTGTTTGTTTGTCGATCTATTGAGATTGCACGGGTCAGCATGAACGCTGAACGATCCAAGCTAACGTTCGACAAGGATTTCATTATGTGTTCATAAATATTGTGTGGGTTATTTCCAAACATGTCTGCGAGCGCCTTCAGCGAGCCAGCTCCTCAGTACGTGAGCGCTCAGCTCAAAGATAGCTGGCTCATTTAGGTGGCGTTACTATATGAAGAAATGTCATTTCTTTGTATGGTAACGCCACCTAAATGAGCCAGCTCTCTCTGAGCTAAGCGCTCACGTACTGTCGAGCTGGCTCGCAGAGGAGGCGCTCGCGGACATGCTTGGTTATTTCTTTGCAAATTTGAAGTTATATAGTTTTTGGATGTTTGGCTACTAGTGTTGGCTTGTTTCGTCTTCATTTTATCGAACAATATTAATAATCATTTAATAGCCGATGGTGAACCGGAATAATTATTTCTCAAATACAATTCTGCAGCATTTTTGTCATGGCATATCGATACTCTCTCTCTCTCTCTCTCTCTTTTCTACTGACTTTTGATGAACATTTTTTTCACATTTCAAATTGACTTCAATTTTCAATGATTCCATTTCAAACACTCCGTAGAATTGGTATTTCAAAAATATTCTCCACCAGAGCAATATTATAGTGAATAAACTTTCTTTTTATCTATAGTAAACTTTTCTTTTTTCTTTGTATTTCATCTATTATTTGTTTTTTCTTGTTTTTCCCATTTTTTATATTTGGTGAACTCTATTTCTATAGTTTAAAATGATCAACAATCGTCAACGCTTATAATTTCTGGGATGATTTGGAAAATGGTAAGATGTCAAACTTCTTTTTTTAAATACGTATAATGGATTCGAGAGAAGTGTGGAATATTATGAAACATGGGCTTCTCTTCAGACGTGTATTTGTGTATTCATCGACCAAATTTGTGTAATTCACCTGAATGGATTCGATTCATATGAGACACATGGAATTTTCTTTGTGATATTCGGTTATTTACTTATTTAGCTTGACTAGAAACAAAAAAAAAAAAACAAAATGCATTATCAGTTTTGTATGGAGAGCAATGAGAAGTCGCATGCACTGCTAAAATGGATTTATGTAAAGAACCGCTCAATCTTTTGCATGTATGAAATCTGTATGTTGATTCATGATATGAAAATAAAAACGTATACGAATGGTTTATGGCCAAAATGTGGGTGGGAAAAAGTACAAAAAATATTTGTCACTTGGTACATAATATAATAATCTAGAAGTAAGGATAATAAAGATACAATTATCTTAAATTAAATGTTATCTCTTTGTTGTTGAAATCATAAGAATTCATGAGCTGCTGATTGTGTTGGCAATTCAAAAGATTTCATGACAACGAAATTGAGGTTCGACGTTTTTTGACTATTTCAAAAAAAAAAATCTTCGATTGGCACTTTTCGTGTGTCAACTTTTGGATGTAGCCGAAATTTTGATCGAAATATGAATAATTCGATTAAAAAAAGGAAAGAAAACGCTCTAAAATTGTAAAGAGAAATCAAAATTCTCACTAAATTGAAGCACACATAATACACAAATATATCATAAATTGTAAGGAAATGCTCAATTACGCATAGAAATAAATTTATATTGTAACATGTGTTGCTCTAAAATAATATCATTCATTGAATTGAAATAATTGAATGTCGTTCCTCTTTTTAATCGAAGAAAAAAAACACTATGGAAGGCGGGGAACGACATGCACGGCTATCATTAGCAAACTGGGAGATACTTGATTGATTTATTGCCTTTTTTGTTCTTCTTCTTTTTTAAATGTCGGTTCAATGCACATCGATCTACTGTCAAGGTAAATCGATGTAATTGTCTGCAGATATGCAAAACAGTTTCATGTTTGATTTTAAATTATTCGGGATCTTGCACAAACGGCCAAATATACCGTCCTCATCTAAACTATCTCTAATTTAAATTTAAAGTGATATAATAAAGTCAGAAGTAGAACCAGAAAATGTCTTGAATGGCATACGATTTGTTTCAGAAAAAGAAATTAATTGGATTTTAAGGCGAAAATGTTGTAAATAGCGGGCTGTTCGGTACGTTTTGATTGGAACTCCAAAAATTGCCAAATCATAAAGTCGAAATATACCAAACACAGTCAGATATTTAGGATAATCTTAACTGAAAATGCAGTCAATTTCATTGTCTGGGTTTTCTAAGGAATTGTCTATCCGCGTAATCCTTCAAAGTCCATGGCCATGTGTATTAGTATAAAATAGTGATAAGTCCGATAAACATAAGATCATTAAATGCAAACGATGAGAACGTTCTATAATGTTTGTTCTTTCAATCATTGTTTTTTTTCTCTCTCAACAAACCATAATTAAATATAAGTGAATAATTAATTAAGTGTAAGTGTATATTGTATGTAAGCGTGTGTTTGGCCGTAACCATTCGCACTTATAAGCAAATTCGTCAATTTAAAATCTTTGGGATGTGATAACCACTTGTTTGAGTTTATAGTTTAGAGATCACAAAAATATCGGATTGACATTCGTTTTTAAGTAGTTGATTGTATGTCTATCTAAAATTGGATGTCATTTCCATTTTGTAAAAATCTCTCATTTTCAACCGTTCAATCATTCTTTTTTTTCTCGCTTGAATTCGATCGTGACTTGAACTAGAACGGATGACACGAACGACTTGGAAGTGTACGAAGTTCATTCAGTATTTTGGTTTGGCACTCGTGCACGTTGTTGATGACGAGATCTTATTCATTGTACAAATTTCTTTTTAAAAAAAAGCTTCACCTCGTTATCGCTTTGATTTCCACGATTAATAAGGAAGAAACGAAAATGCTTGTAATTCCGTATAAAAACAGTAAATTCTAACTTAAACTACATCAAATATTTTCGAAGCACTGAATCGTAGTAGTTTATTTGTGTTGGTGCGCGCGCGTTAGGATCAAAAAGCACATTCTTTCGTATGCAAGCATGCAAGACATAACGCCGAGTTCACCAATACGGTGGGTCACCCATTGCGTACGCGCGTCTGCATGTTCAATTTCACAAAAATAAAATTCAATCCCGTGTTTTCGTTTCGTTTTGCTTTCTTTTCCGACGATTAGAAAATAAAATTTGTTTGACTCGAAAAATATATATGTTTGTGTTGAACTATCTCAAAATTCATAAACTCTATCATTTTATCAAAATTTGGTTGCAATTTATATACAGACTTTTAAATTTCGATTTTCGTTTGCATTTCACTTTGTTTTCCGCATTTGTATTTTGTTCAGTTTTTTTTTTTTTTTTTTCATTTTGTTGATTTGTTTAAACGCAAACGTTAAATATATATGTATATATAACTTAATTCAATGCACCGGCAATGACACAAGGGCAACAATGCGATTGTATGCCAGCATCCAGTGTCAACTTTGGCTCATTAGTTTCACATAAATAAGAAAATCCAAAAAAATAATAGAATTGATTTGAATTGTGATCAGTTTTTTGTGCTATTCGAGAATTTGCGAATGTTTTTTATATGTCCTCCTTTGTTATATGGCGAAATCTTGTGTGTATGTGTGTGTGTCGCATTCACGACTATTCAGCGAAAATTGGTTTGTTTAAATTTAAAAAAAAAAAAACGAAATTATTCACGCTAAGTAGTGTGTGTGTTATTCGTAAGTTAAGTCTTTCGTTTTCGGCGGCTTTCTAATTGCGGCATGTTCGAATGGTGTTTACGAACATGCACACCGAGGTTGCCGCGTTGTTTGGCTTTGTATGGACAATATGGACATTGATGTGATGGCTCTTTATCACCACATTCGTCGTTTTCATGACGTCGCAATGTAGACTTCCATCGATACTTTTTGCCGCAATGACCTAAAAATCAAGTTGAGTTGTTAATAATTTTCAATTGAATAAGGAAAAAAAAGGAAAAAATTTACTAAACGTACGACAAGCAAAGAGTTCTTCGCCACCATCACCATCGGTTGACTCATTCGCTGAGCCGGATACCATGATCGAACGCACTTCGTTAATCGATCCATTGCTTGTAATGATGGTACCGTTGCTTTGGCTTAGCGATGCACTTTCATTCAACGAAATGTCGAAATTTTTCAATGCTGTCGCTGCCAAAATTGAGTACTTCTCTGCCAAATTTGATGTGTAGGATGATGAATCGTTAACCGATTCTTGTTGCGGATGGTGCTGTTGCAAACGTTTTATTTCACTTTCGGTTGGATAACCGATTTTCGTTCCATCCGGTAGTTCAATATCATCGATGTCGGCATATTTAATGGCTGGACTCAGATCATTGCTGCTGATATTGATGATTTGTGAATTCTTCTGGGATGGAATTGTAATGGTGGATAATTGTTGCAACGGTGCCGTCATGATGGGCGTTATTCCGGATATATCCAAAATATTGGATGTGTTCGCTGAAAGATTGGATGCGTTAGCCGGCAACACAGCTTCCACAATCAACGGTGCGATATCGTCGTTTTTTTTCAATCCAGAGTATTTGATGCGCGGATGCGATGTCTTTGGCACGGTAGCGAATAGCAATTGATACGATTGATTGTTGTTTGTTGCCACAGCAGTCATATTGGATGATGTTAGGATGGCCGATGACAATGTGTGAGATGCTGATGATGATAATGACGACGAGGAGGCAACTGATGAAATTGTTGACACTGTAAAAGGAAACACTGCAATTTTAGCAAAACAGCATTCTTATTCATTTGAGTGTGGTGGAACTGCCATGCCATAGAATAGAAACCGATAAGCCGATCGAAACGGAAACAGAGTCTACTTTTATAGTTAATGGCTAAATCAAAAAAAAATTTCTCCCAATCTTATTAGTTTATTCGTACCATGGGGCAATGCATTGCTTGCAACAACAATATTATTAACTTTGGTCGCGAGATCCATTTCATCCTTTTTCGCCTCCGCTGTCGCCGCTGCTGCTGCTGCTGATGCTGATGCTACTGTTGCGCTTTGGATCGTTCCGATTGGAATCGAAATCGCTGTCGGTGTAATCGTTGTTATAGCAGCTGGTGTGGTGTTCGGTGTCTTCGGTGTGCAAGCCACTGCTCCTACCGATCCCACTGATACTTTTGACTTTTTCTTAACTGAACCTAATTTTAAGCGATTTTTCAATGCGACGAGTGACAGGTCGTATCGAATGATCGTTGACAATGACGACGATGACAAAGACGGGGAAAAAAGAAAAAGAATATCTTAATTAAAATTGAGCTAGATAAAAAATCCAGATCGTGTATCTACTATTTTGAAACAAGACCAACAAAATCACACGAGAAAAAAATGGTTTACATTCAAGAAAAAAAAAACGTTGGAAGCAACTCTAAGTTGTTAGATTTATGAGGGGAAAACTTTATATATGGTCTACAATTGAATCCTTTTTATCCACTGCAATCGGCCGGATTTTAGGACGACGGGAAATAAAATGAACTCATTTTCTCTGTACAAAAGTCGATTCCAGAAAACTGTTCGCCATATTCCTAAAATAACACAATACTTTACTTTGACTCTAATGTTTGACTAGAAATGAAAATCTTATAACAACAACGGCGGAGGCGAATTTGGATTTGATCGAAAAACAAAAGGAAAATCTGCAATCAAATTTATGAGCAACAAAAATTAACGCAAAAAATTAATTAAATGCATAACAATCATTACACAACACATCAAAATAAAACAAAATACTTCATTCTCAATATTTAAATTATGTGATTGTCTGATTAAAAAAAGAGTATAGCGCAAATTGGTTAACTTAACTAAATCATAAACTAAACAAAATGCAAAATATGCGCTCGAAAAAAACAAAACGTTACAATTGTTTTTATTTTTGTTGAGGGAAATGAATGAGATTGGTTGGTTTTTCAGTTGATATTGTATGAGTTTATTGAACGGAATTTCTTATGGTTTCAGTGTGTTTAAATCGTGTTTTTCCTTTTTGTTTTAGGTTTATTGCAGAAATTTTCGGAACAAGTCGTTCGAATATCCGTACGGTAGGTAGCTTGAAACGTATTCCCCCGAAAATGGATCTATCAAATGGAGAATCAAAGTGCGATCCGTGCAAATGACAAAATCGATTCGGAATGAATTGTTTACCTAAAAATACAAAAGAGAAGAGTTTTTATTAGTTACAGAACAGTTTGGTTATTGTTTTCTCTTGTCTTGCATTCAATATCCACCGAAAACAGAATGCGTGTGTGTTGGAAACGTTGCCATTTTATTTTTATTTTTTTTTTCAATTGAATTCTTTATTGTATGTGCTAATAAAACAACAATTAGATGCTAAACAAAAATAACTGCAACATTTGAAGCATTTGTTTTTAAATTGATGGAATTTTCATAAATTGTTCTTCGATACTCAATGATGTGTCGGACTTGTCGTCACATGCGTAGATGTAGTATTCCACTTGATTTAGCAATTCGTTAGTTGCTGAAATATCGTATATGTAGTTCACTCAATACATCACGTGAAATTCTAATATTCGGTTAGCCGAAGTATGATTCCATTTGCGGCGCCTATATACATAGCGTATGTATGAGATATGGCTACTACGATAAAGTTCAACGCTATATTTAACGCGCGGCGTCGCAAACGAAATCATACTTCAGCTAACCGAATATTGGGATTTCACGTGATATATCGAGTGAACTGCATATACAATGTTTCGGCAACTAACGATTTGCTACATCCACGCGAGTGACGACAAATCCGATGCTTCTTTGAGTATCGCAATTTTTTCATTTCGCCAATTTCGGTTTGGGAACAAAAAATCGAAAAAAGAGTGTGCCCGAAAACGAAAGAATGCGCCCTAATTCTAAAAAAAATCAGTATATATTACTAACTAAAATGCAAGAAAAAAAATGACTAAATGAGCACGGAATGTTCTTTACGCATGTGATCGTTAAGCAAAATTTGTGATAGATAGCCATGCAAGCATAATGGGCATTTGAATTGCGGCGAAAAATGTAAGCTAGGCATTTATTGCATCGAAATCGATGGGCCGTTGTCATTCGTTGCAACTTTTGCCGACGATGTAATGGTTGAAATTGTCAGTTGCGACGAATTCACTAATGAATACACAGCTGCAACATTTTTCGATGTTTTTTTTCAAGTGGTTTGGCCGACCATTTTGTTTGACATTCAAATGATTTCAAATGATTTTAAATTTGACGCGGTTTTTGGAAAATCAGTGTCAAACGCTTCATGATGTAATTGCTTTGTAATAGCTGCATCGTCTCCAATCGGTTGATCTGCGAAGAAAATATTTAGATATGCACAGGGGTCATCAACATTAAAATTGAAAACCAAACTGCGATACATGGTTTCAATTAAATTACGATTTGTCTATGTTTCACTGTAAGGCATACAATGTCTTACTTATTTACATGCTAACATAAATCGATCGGCGATGGCCTGTAATAGTGTATTGGATCAGGAAAGGAATTTGTGAAAAGCACCTTCACCCAAACTGTTTTTTTTTTATTTCCGCGCTACTGTTTTGTATTCAGCCCCAAACAATTTGGTCTTAAGCGAGAAGTTTTTTTTAGGCAATATATAAAATAAATACTCTTCTTTTATGAAATATATAACCCCATCATAATTTGTTGCTATTATTGTCAATTCAACGTGTATTTTATCAATATAAATGAATTTTTCTCTTTTTTTGTTTACCCACTGATTTCTTTCAAATTCCTTGAGCAATAACAAAACCATATGGTTTCTTCGTAACGATCGAATTTATTGGAAAGTTTCCTAATTTCCTATTTGACTAAAAACTTAAGTATGAAATTCGGGGTTTCATTTCTTTCTTGATTGTTTTTTTTTTGTTTCTCGTTAAAAAATGTCATCGCTCAATTCAGTGAAATGTTCACTCCTTGCGCACGATTTGATCTTGGATCGATCGGGTGTAAAATGATGAACTTTTTTTATGTGACGCGATACCAAAAATCGATAAGCGAACCGTTTGTTGCATGCATAGCACTTGTATGCCTTAGATATATTTTGGCCGGACTGATTTGAACGGCATGCATGTCGCAAATGTCGGTGCAACGAATATTTCAGTTGATATCTGTGCAAATTGAATATGGTTAGAAGGGAAGAAAAAAAGAGAAGGAAAATAAAATCGATAGTAAAAAATGTGGCCGTTTTGTATTATTGTTTGTTTTGGTTTCAAATGCTTAAATTTGAGTGTTTGCGATTGGAAACAGTGCTTACGTTCGTTTGCAATGCTCGCATTGATATTTATTCGCGTTTGATTGTGGATCTGATTGTGCGATCGTTTCTTCGTCTTCATCGGATTCATCGTCGTGAATCAAATATGCCCAAGACGGTACATCTAAAACGATACATTTCATAAAAGAAAAATCATTGCTTTGCTCATATTTTCAAATTGATTTGCATCGATCATCTCTAATCATAAGTATTACATTTTGTTTTTAAAATGGGGGGGAAAACTGCTGAACTTGCGAAAATGACTACGAATTTGTGTGCGTATGTTTTTACAAGGGAATAAAATTTCACATAGTTTGGCATTTGAATTTATTTTCATGCTTTTATATATGCGTATACGATATATATAAATAATCAATTTCGTTTCGCTTGTGTTTTTGTGCTTCGATCGTTTGTCAATTGGAAAATTTGCTTACTTTCTTGTTGCATTACGCGGTTCTAATGGCTTGTGTTTCGGGTTTAAATACATTTTTTGTCGCTCTTTTTCTCATTGATGGTAACGCTTAGTGCTAAATGTATAGCACATTTGTGTTTGTCGATATTTCTTTGAAATTGCACAGAATTGCCATCAGTATTCGAGATTTCTTGAAGAATTGGCGGTAACACATTGTTGGTTTTTTCTGATTTTATCTCTCGAATTCATATATATGTACGATTTCATAGCAAATGTGATTGTAAATAATAACAAACGTTATTTCTTTAAATATTCGGACTAATAAATTAGAAACTAAAATCATCTTAAAGCCGAATGGCTCAAATTTTTTAATGAAATAAATTCTTGTATTTTTTTTTTCATAGTAAACTCTTTGCAATGACTAACTTCAGATGATTTCAACTATGACCCCAGTCAATAACAAAAACCGCCGTCGAAATAAATAAAATATGTATCTAATCTTAGATAAAGCCTTTACGCGAGAAAAACAAATTCAAAATGATCTGCACTTGATAAACTCAACGGTTGGGTTGATCCACCACATTCGAGAACGATGGACTTTTCGCCACCGAATGAATTGAATACAACTTGACACATGCCAAGAAAAGAGAAGAAGATGGAAAATCATGTGCAGTCAAATGATGTAAAACTACTCAACATTCTCTAATGTTTAACTGTATTGACGAAACCGTCGAGAATAAAATAAAATAACAATATGACCATTTCTTTGTATTTGTAAATAAATTCGATAGTTTTTTTTTTTTTTGATTTTCGAATCAACTAAAGCTCAGCTTAGGTAAATAAATGTGCATACGTGCTTGTGCATTTATCGTTTAAAATTGAATAAAATTATGCTGAACCGTTTCAGCTGCTCTATCGTGTGCGACTAAGCTGCTTGTTAACTAAATATATGTACAATGTGTGCTCCATTTTCATAGATTTTGTTATTGTTGTTTTCTCTTAAAATTGTCTAAAATTCATTTAAATAAAATCCATTGCGTTGTGTGTACAATGAAAATCGCCGTTATGTTATTTTCTTTGGAAATATGCCGACAAGTGGCTCGACTGCATTTTCGCAGCTTTATTCACAGTTCGATTTCTTTATATTGACCGAAAGAAAAACATATTATAACTTATCCAACTATTGAATAAATCTATCGTTTTAAGTTAAAACTTTTAACCCTTGGAAGTTCACACCTTGTAAATATAGTATGTGTATGTAAATATTTGTTGTATAGCGGTGGTGCTTTAGAGGATCATCGAAATACCTTCATCGTTTACATTTATTGATTAGCAAGTGATTGATGCATCTAACTGTTATTTTAGAGCATGAATGGGCTATTTGTTTTTTTTTTGGTTTTCGTTCATATTTTCAATGGTTATTTTATTTGCCGATCAACGGCGAACGAAGCTCTGTTTTTATCACAATTTCTTGGCATCTTTTATTTTCTTGAAATGTTAATGCAAAAAAATTGAATCTAGATCATAAATAAAATAATTCACACATTTTTCACTGAACAATATCAACATCTTTTGATGTCGAATGCTTGTTTGTTGTTTATTGCGAAATGTGTGCATGCATTTTGATTTATCTGTGTGTTAGAAGCATCACATCAAAAAAAATTGTATAATGTATTTGGATTTGGGCCAGTTTTGGCCACTTCCAAAAAAAAAAACTGACATAAAAATTGGGCATTTTGCCTTTGAATCGTACATTCGATTCTCGTGAAATAAGTTCAATTCAAATTGAATAGATCGATTTAAAGGCGATGCAAGCGATCATTGTTGTTATGGTTGTTTTGTGTATGTGCGCGCATTTATCGGATTGATTGATTTGGATCAATTTTTCCAAACAAATCATCGATGTTGATGCGTTCGCATGTGTAGCACAAGGTTGTGTTTGTGTTTTGACTTTTTACGACAGATTGGACACTCGAATTTTGGTTCAACGCCACATTCGAATCGAATATGTCGATTCAAACTGTGCGGTCGTGCATACGAATTGCCACATTGTTTGCACATAAAAATGTTATTATTTGATGCTGATGTTGCTGTAGCTGCAGCGGTATTTGGAGGTTTACGGGGAGATGTGCGCTCGGTTTGTGTCTCTAGATCAGTTTTGAGAAGTAATAGATTCGGCGGTGATTTGGTTGTTATTACGGGTTCCGATAATTCTTTCAAACATGTTGCCGGTGTAAGCAAACGCAAGTCGCACGGTTGATCGTATCCGATGACTGCCAATAAAACCGAACGAAAGAGAAAAACAAAGAAAAAAAACATAGTAGGATAACATTTGAAAATAAGGTAAAACAAAAAGAAAAACAAACGAAACTCTTTCGCTCTGATTTTTTCTATGGATTTTGATTTGTGTTTGAGGTGGAGTGTGGAAAACTCAATAATAGGAATACAGCAAACAAACAAATCATCGTCGTTCGAACGTCAAATTGAATTGAATGAAACTAAAAACAAATTTGGATGAAAATTAGTAAGGAAAAGCGAAACACAGGACACAAAAATGAACGAGTTGATTTTTACAAAAATGCCACATTAACATGTGAATTGGACTGAACTGTTTTTTTTTTATCGAACATGAATGCAGTTCGTATGATCAATATGTGCGACAAGTGCGATGATTCATGAATGGTTATTTGAGAGTAAAAAGAATTAGAATCGAGACAGATAAACAAACAAACAAAAAATTACGATTTGTTGAAGCTTACATATTTATGGCTGCTTGATCGAATTGCATGTAAGTGCACATGAAGAGATGATGAAGACAAACGTGTGTATTTACGTCATTTGATTTTTGACAGATAAATGGCAACAAATGTGTGTGATATTTGATGATGCTCACTAATGATTGATTGACACACAAACACACTACAAAAATAACAACAGCTACATAATACACCATCGGACTGAAGCAAACGTCTAAAGCATAGCTCTTTCTTATTTCTTCTTTCTTGTTGTATGGCACAATGTTTTTGAATTCGGCAATATCATCATTCATATTTTGAAAACGATATTTTGAAAAGAACACACTTGAAGCGTTTGCAATGGGTGCAGTGAATATGATGACATTTGATGCTTTCATGAACGTGTAGTAGTGTCTCTCGATCATATTTTCAATTGTAATTTTTTTTTTTTCATTATTTCTTGATTTACTTTTGTTTTATTCTCCATTTGAATGGTAACTGGGCAAAACTAGATATGAACGAAACACACTGGACTGATGAATATTTTTTTCTCGTACGACAACACACAAACACACAGATAAAAAATAAATAAATCACTTAACAGAAACGGATTAGTTGATATTGTACGATTGAAATCTTGAACGATATTAAAACGCATTTAAAGAAAACTACCGTTCAAGTGGCAATAGCAACGAAAACATGAGTTGATTGATCAAGAGGACAAATAATGCAAAATCTGATTTTGTGTTTCCGGATTAGAGTATATATGTTTCTTTTACTTGGAAATTATTTCTATTTTTTTCATTCTCATAAGAAATTGAATCAAATTAATTTACAACGAATTAAACTTAAAATAGTTTAGCGTCAGTTAACATCGACAGAAGGTTCCAGTCAGAATAAACACAACAGTTGCTATACACACACGAAAATTTTTGCAGCGACCGACAGATTGGTAGTGTGAGAAACTGATACATTCTGATTCACTCGATTAGAGAACGTTGTCGGAGAGACCATTGTGTGCCATGAACTGAGTACCATCGCCAGTGTATGTCACCTAAAAAGAAAAAAGAAATCAAATTAGAATTGGAGAAAAATGTGTTTGTTGGAAATCGTAATCCATGTAGTGTTGGAAGCTGCAATGAAGTTCAACAAAAATTCGAAAGAAAAACATCTTTTTCCTTTTTTTTTCTTTAATCAAATATAATTGTGTATATATTGAAACGAAAAAAAAAACATATATTATTAGGAATGAAAAGAAGAAGATAGTTTTTTTAGTGTGATTTTCTTACATGCTAATTGTCTTTTATCTATCATATAACCAAAATTTTAACCATGGCAAAAACTATTCAAGCCACTTTGCTTGAAGTCTGATCCTTCGTAAGCCTTGTTGTGTTTGGTTCTGAAACATGGTGACTCAAATGTGTTGCATCCATGTATTAAAATCTTTTTGTTAATTGATTGCAATCTTTTTTTCTTTTCAATTTCAGAAAAGCTTTTGTTCTTCATTTTATATCACTTAAAAATTCTTTTTGTAGGGAATTAAGACTGTTTTTAATTACTTTTTTTTTTTTGTTTAGATTCAAAGTATGTTTTTGTTCCTTTTCCGTCACCGAGTTGAAGAGTTAAATTTTAGTATTCAAAATTAAGCTTAAAGTGAATTTTATGTCAAATTTGTTCATCGATTATTTTTATGTATATTTCTAATATTTATACTGAGAATGAAAAAAAAGAGTTCTGTAAATTCCTATAATTTGTTTTAATTCATTTTCAATGAACAACATTTGAACCATTTTTTTTTATTTCTCTCCATGCCTATTCAAAAATGTGTGCCGAAATGTGTCTGTGTTTTTAATTGGTATGGCCTCTATGCTTCTACTAAATTCAATATCCTGCTTTTCCGATTCCAAAAAATGATCGGTGAAACAATAATAAAACGGATTCCAAGACCCAATATCAATTATATAGTATAGTTTGAGTATATTTGCAGATTGTACGCACATTTTTCTCTTTCTCACTTTATCTCGATCGTATAGCACGATTTTCATGTGTGTTAGATGTATGCTATCATTCCAAAAATCCTATCACCTCATGTTCATTTTCGAATTCACCTTGCATCTATCCCTCTGTTTTTTTTTTTTCTTTCATTCTTTCTTCGGGTAACTTCTTCTGTTCGGTTCAATGATTTTTTAAATCACAAATTCGATAATCGATAAAATAAACGTGTAAAAATCCATTTGCAATTTAACAACTTGCGAGTTAGAGTTTTAAAACTTAAATAAAAAATAAAAATGGGATTTTCATCATCAAAAAGTATACATAATTTTGTTTAAATTTCCTTAAAAATGATACCATTCATAGAAACTATCTTGGTTTTAGGTAAATAAAATGTATAGAATTAATTATTTATTGTTTTCATATACTTTTTTAAACAAAACAAAATACATGAAATTCCGTTAATTTCACACAGAAAAAAAAAAACAAACAAACAAACTATTAAATTCATAATTGGACTACTATTGACATTGATTAGTTTTGTTTGGAATGCCACTTGTTGTGTATATTGATTTGTCTTTTGCATTTCTTTTTTCTTCTTTTTGCTTGTCCATATTCTACAAGATAAAACGTGGAATGGCCACATGAAATTCGTATGCATATCACAAACATCCAAATATGGCGCTCGAGAAAACTCTTCTGCAATTTTTTTTTACGTAGACTTTTGCGATCTGACTCGATTCATGAATACAAGTTTTTTTAAACAAAAAACAAGCAAAATATGTGAACATTATATTGCGAGGACCTGTTGCGTGAGTAGGAAAGGGGCGAGAGAGAGGTTTTATGGTGTTATAAATTATCTAGATAACGATTTGAAAAAATATTTTGCATGTGATGTGATTTGAGGTAGTTCGATTACGTTACGGCTAAAGTATTTAGTTTGAGCTGCATTTTGCATTTTCTCATTTGAGTGAATGAGTGTTTCTTCATTATTCATCTATAGTTTATAAAGGACGGTAACCTTGCAATTTGTTTATAGTGCACATCTATTATTATATCATTTACACTAATTGTTTTTTTTTTTTCTTTTTCTTCTAACATTCAAAAACACATTTTTTTTATGAAAAAAAGAAAATCCTCTTGATTTGTATTTCAAATACCCGTGTTTAATGTTTCGTTTTCGCATCAACAATGTTGAGTTTATGTTCATATAAATTTACTCTCTGTTCTCTGTACAAATACTCGCATGGCATAAAGATAATATGTTATTGCTTGAATCAGATAAACACGACTCAACACACTCTAACTGAACCCCCAAGCAAAACATACTATTTTCTTCGTCTTTAAATGTGTAAAAAAACAACAACAAAACAAATGGGACGGTACAAAAATACCGATTTTTTTGTTTTCACTTGTAAATATGACACCCGTATCATTTTCCTTGTTGACTGTTATTGGTCCTTTTTTGCGCACGCGTGCGTGCGTACGTTTTGTCGCTTCTTTTCTGTCTTGCTTATGGACTATAAATATTTTGAACTAATTCCTCACCTAACAATTATTATGTGCAGATTTTCATTCAATTTTGCTTTTCTCAACACTAGAAATGTAGTAACATCTAGAATAAATTCATGGAAAATGTGTATAAAATAACACAAATACTGTATATTAATATAAAAGAATTATAATTCGGATTTTTTTTTTTTGGAATGCGATCAATAATAAAGAATGTACCGGTTGAGGATTGTTTTTTTTGTTAGAGATAAGTGATATCTGTCGGTTTCGTTTCTTTTCTCATTTCAAAAATGAGCTAATTGATTGATAAAAAAACATAGTCTAATATCATTCTAATTGAACAAAAAAAAAAAAAAAATAAACGGCTGATACTTTGCTGAACTATGAGTAAATAGAAAAATAAATTGAAGTTTTCTCAATATTAAATTTGACGCGATTCAATTGTGTCTATTCTTTGTCGGAAGCTGTATAGCTATCGGAAGAATTCTCTTCCTCGCGCTTAATACCAGTTGCAGCAGCCGCAGTGGCAGCCACAACAGCAGCGGCAGCTGCTTTTAACATGGCCGCGTTGTTTTTATGCATCCGTTCCATGTGCCGGCCGATGTGCATCTTCTGTTTGGCACGGTAAACACAGAATGGACACTGGAATTGCGGATCTTTGCCGCATTCCCATTTCTGATGGTTTCGCAACGATGATTTCAATTTATAGACGCGTCCGCAATCGGGGGCCGGACACATGTAACCACCGCCGGCTTGTTCATTTCCACTACCGGAAGATGTATTCGCACTACTATTGCGATCATGAGTGGACTGCAGAAATCAAGATATGAAAATTAAAACATTTTTAGTTTTCCGAAGTTAATATGTTTTTTCAACACCAAATTGATGGAATCAAACTCATATCGAATTTTGCACAGTTCACAAATTTTTAATCACACAAAAAAATCGTTTCTGTTCGCGATGTTTACTTTGTAGAAATTTACTTACGGGCGATAGCAATTTGATTGATTTCTTGTCGTCGAGTACAGATGCGATGGGATTCACCGTTAGATCGGTTGGAAATAGCAATGGATGGATTCCTTCTCGCAATTGCGTTACTAATGGCATTGCAATGTGTGAACTCCACTGATCCCATGGTAGGCCAGCGATACGCGTTATGCTCAAATCTTCGGGTACTACAATATATGGAAGAAGAATTTTGGAAAATTTTCGATTTTAATCTAAATGGAAATTATCTGGGGTGGGTGGTTGGTTGGTGAAGGTGATATTGTTTGACAAACGGCAATGGACAAACAATTAACAAAAAAAAAAACTAAACAGAAAATTGCCTAACACTTAAGGTCGCATCGAAACAAAAAACAATAACTGTCTGACTTATTCTATGTTCGGTTTTGTTTATAATCCTAATTGCTTTTGGTTGAATTTATGTTTTTTTTTTTTTTGCTTAAAGTTTAAGGATGAGATGAAGTGTTTATTTTTGTTTGTTCAAATATTTTCGATCCGGCCATGCGACCATCGGTTTGTTGCATCGAATCGAACATATTTCACATGGGTGCTAGTGTGATGAACATGACTCTAATTTAACGAGATTGAGAAATTTGGAAAAGGCTTCTTTGATTTGATGTGAGAAGAGAGAAAGTATGTGTATCAGTGTGAAAATGTTATTGAATCAATGAGTACTTGTGTGAATTAAGAAGAGTTTTTTTTTAGAATCTAATTGAGTTTTTACTTGTCTGGTTTAATCAGATTAACTAAAAATTTACTTGAAAATCGACCGTCACCAAAGACAGAACAGGTTTCGATTTGTGGGTAAAAATAATGTGGAAAAAACGTGTGATTTTGTGTGGAGTGACCTTTTTTTGTGGTGGTGGTGTTTTTTTACAATATGCAAAGAAAATACAGGCGCAGATGGAGAGAAACAATAAAATAAAATTTCGTAATAAAAAAAGGCACGAAATCATAAGAAATTAGTTTTTCTATTAGAAATGAACATATAAAATTTTCAAAATAAATTCCAAACAACTTCTCACTCACACTCGCTTTTTATTTGCAATTTTATGCGTTTTGGTTTCAATGTTTCTTTTGTCTTAGGTCAAAATAAACAACGCAAGTCAACAACAACAAAAACAACAACAACAACAAAATAATTATAAAAAATAAATATATGGATAACATTACTAAAATAATAGCAAAATAATTCAAAATATACGCCGACACGAAAAACAATTAAACACATACAACAAAGAGACATCAATTGATCAATTGCAAGACAAATCTTTACTCTGATATTCACTCGACGAACGTGATTCTCGAAACGGCACTCCGTTCAATTGATCATTGCGGTCAATGGTATCCAAGTGATTTCGTGATTGCAATCATCGCTTCAATATCTCTGGGTCTCAGCACACCTAAAATGAAAACAAAGTTATATTAGTGATGTGATTTTTTTACAAGTGGTTCGCCCCACCACAAATCGTTTTCCACAGCCAATGAAAAGAAACACAAACAATTTTTTTTTCATTTTAATCATTCTTTTTCTTTTTTCATTCAATTTACAGACCATATACTAATTACTTGAATGGCAAATTTCCTTTAAAACGCTTAAAATTTTGGTTTTGTTGCTCTCTCCGACATTTTCGTGGTGGTTCGAATGATTTAAGTGATACAGCATTGTATGAGCTACCATGCCATTCATAAGATTTTGCTCGACATTCGGTGCAATGCTTTATTTGGCACTTGAGTCGTTCGGAACAGCACGTAAAAGTCTTTGTGAGTGTGGTTGTTCGCTTCAAAATCTCTGTCTGTTTTTATCAGCATGTTTTTGTTTCACGTTAAACTCTCTGTATTTAGCACATCATTCTTGTGCTTGTTGCGTCTAATTTAAACGTTTCTAAATTAAATTGGGTATTTCACATACAATGCGAAAAAAATGAAAATTTACAATTCAAGCACATCTTAATCTAAAGAAAAATAAATTGTACGAAAAGTCTAACTCAGGCCAATTCGGATTGAAAAAAAAAACGTTATAGAAGCGTTTGTTTTGCAACATAAAATCAGAACAGGTCTGTCTGGAAGTTGAACATCGTGTAATCAAGAACAACAACAAAAAACTAGCAAACGTTGAACTTGGGTGGACACGAATGACGCGATTTGAAGTGATCTTAAACCTATCCAATTAATTGCTAAATAGAATCTCTTATGATTTAAACGAATTCCTAAAAGTTGCAAAGGATTTTTGTTTGTTGCTTTTTTGTGTGGGCGATGGGAATTCGGGATTGAATATCCCCTCTAAATTTCCACTTACGTTAGTTTTCTAAATTATTCTTCTTTGTAATCTTTTGTTTTGTTTATTTACAACTACTACTATTATCTAAATAAAGGGTTTCTTCCTTTTTTTTCACTTTTCGCCATGTAAATGGATCAAACTGGCTGTAAATATAGATAACAGAATAACAGAAGTTCCGAAATGAAAAGGAGAATAACGAAAAATTTCAAATGAAAGTTAAGCATACGTTGAAAAATTATGTGACGTGAAAATGTACGTGAAAATCGTTGCTTTAAAATTGAAAGAGCTGAATGTGTCGATTTGATCCAAAATTCAAACAATTTTGTGTTTTTGTTTTTCTCTTGTTGTCCTTTTGCTGCTGTTGCCTTTTTGTTTTGCTTGAAAACCCAATTCCCAAAATCCCAATCGCACTGAATTGATACCACAAATCTCGTCCATCCAAACTTAATTCGTCTCCAATATGAATTTATTGGTTTTTTTTGCGCCGTGACTCCAGCTGCGGCATTTCTGGGTGATGTTTGCGCACATGAACTCCCAAATTGCCACGTTGCTTGGCCTTGTATTGACAGTATGGACATTCGTACGATGGCGCCTTACCGCCACATTCAACGTTCTCGTGTCGTCGTAATGTAGACTTCCATCGGTACATTTTACCTATAAACGGACAATAGATTATTATATTGAACTTAATAACTTTCAATGTTAATGGAATGATATGTTATTGGTGCTATCACGACAACAACATATCGAAAAATGAGCAACTATAAATTTACCACAGTGACGGCACCCAAACGGTTTATCGATTTGTGAACTGTTCTCCTCGCTACAATTCATCGAGGAATCGCTTAATGGATATTCAATCTTAAATGTACATGAATTGCTGCCTTCGCTAAACGTTATTTCATCACCGCCGACCACATTTTCGGCGGCAATTATCGAAAAATTTTCAGTCGATTCGTTTGACATGTTTGTGGTGGTGTCTTGAGTGAATGTGATATTTTCCTCTTTATCAATGATTGCCGTCATCATTTGACTGTTATCGAAGGTTATCTCCTCGAAATCGGCCAATTCCGAAATTTCCATGTAATCTTCAACTTCTTCCGTGAACGAGCTAATCGACTTTGAGGCCAACGATTGATTCAACGACTTGCGACGCTTTGCTTCGAGCACAGGATCGTAAATAGTATGCACTCCTAAATAAAATTCAATGAAAGAAACAGAAATGTTTCGATTTAGTTTTGAGTTTCGTGTACCCTAACGAAATAAAACGGTAGTTGCAAAATGCATTTGAAAGAAAAAGGAAATGAATGACAAATATATACTTGTTGGGATGATCAGTTCACTTTCTTTCTCAGTGTCGGATGCAACATTTTGTTGGCGATTGCGAACGGCTGTCACCGTGATCCCTTCTGAAAATTCCAAAGAAATTATTAGGTTTATTCTAAACATGGACACAAATTCATCAATGATCATTTATTTCAATTACCTGCACCGGCTTTCTTCAGCATTGTTTCTAATCCGTTGGCTTTCTTTGAGTTGTAGGTTTTGGTTTTGGCAACGGCCGTCAGAACGTAGCTATTTGCTCTGCGCGATACTACAATATCATCGTTTTCCAACAATCCAGATTGTTTCAATGATTTATCTGTTCGGGAATTTATGGAAAAAAGGGCAAATTTCCAAAAAAAAAAAGAAAGAAGGAATAGAGAAAAGAAAAATGGCATTCATTAACATTCGAGTCATATGTGATCGGTTTGAACGAAATTTGTGAAAGTAAACGAAACGAATCAAGAAAAATGGAAATAAATTTAAGGATATCTATGTTTTGGCAAATGTTTACATCAAATAAGGCGAAGAATAGGTTAATAGAGTGCATTAAATGTACGAAATTCTTTTGTTCGAATTTAATTTTAGAAATACTTCTATGCGCAAATATTCGCAGATATTTGCTCTAAAAACGAATTAAACTATTGTATATCATATACATCATAATCATCACCAGAATAAAAGAACACGATCTGAATAAAAACAACGGGTTTTTGATTGGTTTTCCATAACATCTGTATTAGACATCATTATTTTATTATGTATTGTCGTCACATTCGCTCCATCCATTTCAAGCATTTTCATCATAAATATAATCCAAATTTGTTTGATTTTTGTAGAATTTTTTTTCCTGTTTTTACATTCTAAGAGAAACAATATTTGCATGAATCTAGTATATGATGTGTGCGATTGATGATCGAAATCCGAAAATGGTCAACGAGATAGTGTTCTTGTGTGAGTATTTGAATGGGTGAGTGGGTGTCTCTCTGTGTGTTTAAAAAAAAAAACATGTCAAAAACGGTTTTCCGCTGAGCTTTCAGATAAAAGAGTACGATCAATTTACTAAAATGAGAAGACACAACGCAATTATTCATGATTTTTTTTTATTCGATCGGATATGTTCAATATGACCAACGAAAATGATAAGAAACCAACATAACGAAAATGTAAAAAATGACATTTGAAATAGAAAATCAGAATTATCTTACGATCATAGCGCTTCATTTGGTGTACACTTTGTCTTTAGAAAAAACCACTATAAATGACTTTTTTTTTCAGTTTAAAAACATTATATATAGCACAGGATTTGTTTGTTCAACTAATTTACACTGGTTTTTAGTCAAATTTCAAAAGCACCACCGTCCGGTAATAACACTTTAGTGGCAACATCTTTGATGCCATGTCGCGTAAGCATATGGCCACTCATTTGATTATGTCGTTTAAATCGTAAACTGCACACTGGACATGGATATTTTGGCTCTTGGCCACACTCAAGCCGATAATGGCGCCGCATATTTTTGCGTTGCGAATAGTCTTTGCCACATCTCGGGCACTTATACCGTTGTG